TTCCCTTCCTTCCTTCTTCCTTCCTTCTTCCTTCCCTTCCTTCCTTCTTCCTTCCTTCTTCCTTCCTTCCCTTCCTTCCCTTCCTTCCCTTCCTTCCCTTCCTTCCTTCTTCCTTCCCTTTCTTCCTTCTTCCTTCCTTCTTCCTTCCTTCCCTTCCTTCCCTTCCTTCCCTTCCTTCCCTTCCTTCCCTTCCTTCCCTTCCTTCCCTTCCTTCCCTACCTTCCCTTCCTTCCCTTCCTTCCCTTCCGTCCCTTCAGTCCCTTCCTTCCTTCCTCCTTCCTTCCGTCCAACACATCTCCGTCGAACACTCAGTCTCGCTCCCCCGCGGTGAGTGCAACTAAACGAGAACCCAAGCATCGGAGATGCTTTTGGGAAAAAGGTGTTCACATGTTATTGACAGTTTTCTGTTGTTTTATTGCACAGTAGTTGGGCATTGCCGATATCTTCAGCATTGTGTGGCTCCAAATTAGATGTATAGCATTGTATAGCAACAAGATGCCAAATGGGATGGTTGAATGCAAAAAGCGGTACCGGTTTGTAAGTCTCTCTAAATCGTCTAAATGTTATACCCCCGCAAATCACAATGACTTCCAAACATCAGCAGTGCGACTGTCAACATTCAAATCAGCGGTTGCACAGCTAGGCACCCTTTTTCGGCCATGGCCTACCCCGCCACAGCCCACCCCTTCCAATGGTAGCCACAAAGCCAAAGCCCCAAGACAGCCCTGTTGGCTAGTCACTAGTGGGGATCCAGTGACCATCCTGGCTTCACTGAAACACAAAATTACATAAAATTACTAAATGATCTAAAAAAAAACATCAAAAACCTCTGAAACAAGAAAAAGACGTGCTGCATTGATTGGCAAAGTTCAAACATGTTTCGTTTCCGATCGTCTCCTGCCAGCCGCTCAAATGGTCCCTGGACTCCTTCTTGTAGATTTTCAAAAAGTCAAATCCTCTACAGCAAGCTTGCATGCTGCACTCTTCCGGATTCCATCTCATTCCACACATGTCCACACATCGCCACCGCCTCCTCATCCAGAGGCCCCACCTCCGATGCTGGCGGCTCTGCAGGAATGTCATCCATGCCAGGTTTCGCGGGATGTCCAAAGATCTGCAGCAGGTTGTACCTCAAATCATCCTGGTCCCTGACCTTCAATCTCAACACCTGCACACCCAGGTCCTCCAAGAACTGATCGCGCCGAGTGCGCACTGCCCGGTCCAACCGGGAAAGCTGGAGGTCCAGGGGATCCAGCTCCAAGTTCAGGTGAGATCCATCGCAGTGCGGCAGCACCAGGCTGAGCAGTGGACCCATCTGGTGACGCTTATTCACCAGGACGGATGGAAGGAATTCTTGAACGGTCTGGGCGCACTGTTTTTGGAAATCAGTCTGTTCCAGCTGCGGCTTGGGGCTCAACTGTGTCCACCCTTGCTGACTTGCAACTCCAGCTAGGCCTTCCAACAACTCTGCGACTTCGGGTGACTCCAAGTCAGCTTGGATGAAGGCACGTGCAAGCAGCGAACCAGGAATAGGATGCATCTTCCCCAAACGCCGCGAGGCCTCCCTCGCGATGCTGATCAAAGGCAGCTCACCGTGCATCCCTGCTCGGACATATGCAAATGCAGTGTATCCAAGGTGGGACAACCCGAACAAAGAGACGGTAGCTGCACATCGAACACCCAATGCCTTGAACAGGTCCTCATTGCTGATCTGCAGTTCAGAGTATGCCCACGCAATGCTGTTGATGGTGGATGGGTCCAAACCATCAACCAGCTCAGCTGTACGTGCAACAACTGCTTCCATCAAATGTTGGTCCGAAACACGTGCCTTGGCCCAAGCCATGAAAATGTATCTAAGGTCGAGAGGTCTGAGTGTTGAAACATGCGGCAAGGTGGCACGCTCAAGAGCCGGTAAGTATGCACCAGGACTGTCCGACAGCCTCGACACCACGTGCATCATTAAGGCTAACTGGTCACCCTTGAAGTCTGACACACGCTCCACAACAGCCGCTGGGATGCAACTTCCAAGAGTTGTAGCAAGTGAAAGCTTGCTAGCAGCAAAGGACACCTCACAGAGGTCTTTAACCGAAAATTCGGCTGTTTTCAGATTTGCGGCCTTGCCAAGAGACTCAAGGAATTCCACATGTGTGCATCCGGACTGAGAAAAAGCCCACAGTATCGTGGCAATGGTCCTTGCATCGAAATGAGGCACAAACTGCAGACTACATGCCGCGATTCGATCACACAGCAAAGGATCGAGGGCCCGCGACCTCGCCAATCCAAAGATGACGTGCAGCACTTCGAAGGATTTTTCAGGACCTTTGGCCACCCAAGCAAACGCCAAGTCCATCAGCAGCTGTTTGTCTTTGCAATGCAGCAAGCAAAGGCCATGAATTGTATATGAAATCCTGTCCTTTGGAATGGACGAAAGATTGCGACGAATTGCCTTGCACAAGGACTGCACCAGGGCATCATCTTTGCAATTTGCTTGGCCCCAAGTCAGCGCTACCTTGGACAACTCCTGGGGGCACAGGCTCTCCATGCGCTCCTCCATGACCTTTGATAGCACTTGGAACATCCTTTGATGGAGGAAACCAGCAGCAAGGCTGGCTTCCACAAATCCAACAATGTAGCATGTCTTCAGCTTCTTGAGACCATCAAAGCGATAGATATTCGTCAACATCACATCTGTTGCCGCTTTCAGCAGCTGCTTGTCCGGCTTTACTCCTGCCCTCTGAAGTGAGAAGATAAAGTCTGCCCAAGACCAGCAGCTCAAACTACTAGGATCCGCCTGGACTCTTCCCATCATCACCCTCAGCATCTCTGGATCCCGCTGGCTCGCTTGAGAGAATGCACCTGCGATCTGCACCAGTTCCGCCATCTTCACCTCCTCCACTTTCTGCGTCACGGTGCTGCCGATGTCCCTCCAGGTAGCCTCATCCCTCCACCGAAGCGACGCCAGGCTCCTTGTGAGATCCACCAGGTCGCCACGCTGCAGCTGCTGCAGCCGCCCCAGGCAGTGTTGGATGGACGGCTGAAGACCTGCATGGCCATGAGACGAAGGTCCCGTGGCGGCCAACTTTGCCAGCTGGGCCACCTGTGCACATCTCGCCATGGGATGGAAGGATGGCAAATGTTGGGAAGTCAATAGCCTGGAAAAACTGTTGCACGTGGATGCACCATGTCAAGATTCATGTTCATTGAAAGCAACGTTGAGAAAACATGGATGCACAATGTCAGGATTCTTGAGAGCAATGTTATTCAAGGTGTTGTTGTGCTGTACAGCCAGAATCTCAAGTTGCATTGCTTGGTTTCTATTTGGAGACATAAAGTCCACAGTGCTCACGTATGAAAAGCAATCTTGATCCAAAAAAAGGTTTCAAGAGCACAAGCACATGTTCAGGTCCACACTCCAGTCATGGCCCAAGTGAGATGCAGAAGGTTTTCCTAGAAAGCTCTTTCATCTCTTTTTGTTTGCACCCATCTCATGGAAACTCCAGGATCTGTTTCTGCACGGGTTGGTCTTCAACCAGAAATCGAGATTCTCCAAACTCCAAACAAGTCTCCCCAAGACGGCTTCATGTCCCACCTGCAAGGCAAGTCTCTGTGGAGCTCCATTCGGCACAGGCTAAATGGCCAGGATTTGCAGCCATGAACTTACTTTGTACTCAAAAGAGCGTCAACAAACATGGGAGAGTTGTAAGCAAAAAAAGGTGGGTGTAACCAACGATGACAATCTTCTCAACAAGAACAGCAATTGCACTTCATGAGCATAAAGGGAGTACAGTCTGCCCCAACCTGAGAGCCTGAAGGATCATCCATCTCTGTTGGATCGAAAGGACTGGCAGCAATGACTACATCCCACTGAAACAGCTCCCGTAAAATCTCCCCAGTGTCGAAGAGCCATGCATTGATGAATGGTCAAGTCATAATTCTCCGAAAAAAAAACACTGATCGTTCCGTTGTTACTGTTGTTCCACACATATGTCCTTCTCGGGATTATATTATACTAGTAGTAATATATACTGTACCATATATATATATATACAGATATTAAATCTTTATCCAAATTCCTCTTGGCTATTTTCTACCTGGAAGAATCAATGGCTGAGGGATTCCTCATGCATGTTTGAACCCCTCAGCAGCATTCACAACAGTGCCAGTCCATGAGCTCATCGAAGGAGACACGCGAGTTGGGATGCAGATTGTGCAGGGCATAGATCCTGTGGCGCAGCCCCCACCGCCCGTAGTTCCAAGCTTTCAAAGGGTTTTGGACTCCAGTGACTCCAGTGAAAGTAGATTTACAAATGGAAAAGGAAAGGTGGTGGGCTGAAAAAATGTGAGAAACACTAGCACCAGAAAGGGGTGTAACCGGACCCTGGCACCCTTCCTATTTTCAGGCAGGTTGCGTCGACTGCAACATGGAGATGAATTGTCACTGCTTTTGATATGCCATGGAAATCGTCTCTGTTTCCGTTTGATATCTCGCAATGTTGCCCATTGAATATGGAGCAGGTTGATCTCCATTATTCTCAAACTCCCAATTCTTGTGGGCTCAAACCGCTTAAACTGAGTGAAACTATCAATTTTACAAAATGCAGCATCTCCATCCACCAGAAATCTGGACCTTTCCAAGTGCGCATCTCGATGAGCACCTTGGGCTGCAGAGCATGTTGGGCCGTGGGTCAAGTGGCTCAGTTGCAGCAGTTGAAGAGGATCACCTCTGGACTTTCAATGATTTCTATGTATATGTTTTGTTTCACGACATAGGGAAACCTCATTCAACAAAGGTTTGGTTACCCTCCAGCAAGCCAGCATGGCGATGGAAAGTTCTCCACTGACATCCACATACACGGAGGATTTGCCATGTTGGATTTGCGGGTCCGGGAACAGCTTGAACTTGCACATCTTTAGCTCACGTCCAAGTCTCCAACCCAATGCAACTTCAGGTGAATAAACATGGTAATCACCATGCTACCGTACACAAGAGGCTAAAACTAAGAAATGGCGGGTCTTGTCTTTGATGCACTGAAAATGACAATTTCCACGATTGAGTTCTGGGGTCAAAAATCGAGATTGAACACTGCACAGATTGAACACTGCACTTCACAGTTCTCTCTTGTGTGCGATTACCTGCAAACCATGAGAATAAATCTCTCATGGAGCATCCATATTCACAGATCCTGAAGTAGATACCAAATTGGACCTTTGACACTAGGAAACTCATACAGAAAATTAGGGGATTTCGTTTTACTCCAGGATGCTGACTAGTTGGATATGGGGTCAACACCTCAGACACTTGAGAGCCCATAGATATCCATCCGTCTTTAGCATCAGCATATTATATTATATAACTCAACTTATATTATTAACAATCAATTGGAAAAAACAACAACTATATAAACCTGATTTTAGTCATTTTCTGTGTCAACCATCCAATATATGCTAGATCCATATTCGATTTAACCCATCCTCGACGTATCCAACCTCTTCAAAAACCCATAACTAATTGTAGAACCATCCAATCTCTCAGCATATCTCATCATATCTTACCATCTCTCATGTTGGTGATTGCAGCTGGATGTCTTTGGTTCATTTTCCCAGCATTTTCCCAGCATTTCTGGGATGATGTCCCTCCAAACCCCCAGCATTTTCTGCTGGAAAGGCACTTCGCATGTAGGGCGCCATCCCGCGCAGCATCTCGGAGAGTTCCTCCCTGGACACGGACCTTGGGGATGGCTCAGGATGGGAAACCCCACAAAAAATGGATGGGAAAAGGTATGGAAGGGTTAGGTTTACAATGGTTCACTATAGAAGTTTGAAAAATCTAGATCTGGTTTACTATTGAAATTTTGAATTATCATGAATTATCTAGATGTTGATGATGTTAGATCCGTTTAGTAAGTCCCTTGGGTACCCAAACTGGGTTGATCAGGACAGCCCAGTGAGGTTCCAGCATGAGCAAACATGCCAATTTTAACCCACCATATGGATGGGTTGTGGTTGGCACCTTGGCACCTTGGCACCATGTAAATGGCCTGCATGTTGTGTTACGGTTAGTTAGTTCTGATATTATCAGGTTGGTTGATTTGGTCTGCGGTGGGTTCGAGTGCTGGGATGTTTATCAAAGGTTTGTTGGGACATCTCTCATGAATCTTGACAAGAAAGGTTTATTGTTCCGTAGGAACCTGATAAGTTGATGAGTAATCTATAGGAATTGCAGGGAACGTGCAATCGTGATGAAGACATATTATTGGACATGTGGAGTCTGGAACATCATGTTGTGCAGGATCCCTCGTGTGTCTTGGTGCCGGCAATCATCCCAAGACCAAATCACAAATGAAACGGCGCAACCTAATTGATGTAATTTCAGGTATGTTTTGCCCTGCTGTTCTGGTAGGTCAATAACGAACGAATCACCCATCACCCATCAGTCCTTTGTACATCCCCTGACCGTCCAGTCTGTGAAGGTAGCACCAATCGGCAAAAACTGAGGCCTCAACCCATCTTGCTCCTCATCGTACATCATGAACGCAAATCGCACCTGCGACCGCTTGGAACTGCAACGGGTACTGGGATGATGCATGAACTTGGCGAATGAATTGCCGAATGGGTTTATGTTTGGAAAAATTCCTGGCGATATGTCGATCATGATGCTTCCACTGGCTTCGAGGATCGTTTCAGTGGATGCGCGCATCTGCAAGGCTAGAAAGAATGGTGTGCTCGTTTAGTGAATAGCTACAGTGGATTTTGCGGATATGGATGGGGTCAACATTGTTAACCCTGTTTTAAAGCATCGCAAATTATGTGTCCTCTATGAGTCTGTCCCAAAAAATACGCTACACAAAATTCCTCTGGGTGATCATCATTTTCCCAGCAAGAATTCTCATTTTTGCTGGTACAGTATCCCCTAGTTTTGGACAAGGCAATGGCTCCCAACTCCCAGTGAGCCTTGGTTTCCAGGTTCGTCTTTGCGAACCTGGCAACGTAGAAAACTGTCACTCGAAGCAAAGGAATTGAGCCGACCTCTATACATTCATCACTCAGCGGATGAACAGTCAAATGTCACATATGCTGAAAAAGGATGGTGGTTCCAGCCCAAGCGTACAGTAAATGTAACATCAAATGGTGCATTCTTGGGGAGTCCTATGAAATTTGACGGGAAACTGGTGAACCCTGACAATTCTGGGGGTGTATGTGCAGGGACGTATACAATCAATACATTGATGGGTCAAGATAAGAAGTTGGATGGCTTGCTGATACCAATAGTTGCCAAAAGCAACATTGCTAGACCATGAAGTCCACCACTCCAATTCATGAGTCAGGGATTCTATCACCATCAATTACCATCAATTACCATCAATTACCATCAATTACCATCAATTACCATCAATTACCATCAATTACCATCAATTACCATCAATTACCATCAATTACCATCAATTACCATCAATTACCATCAATTACCATCAATTACCATCAATTATATACATAGTAATTACCATCAATTACCATCAATTATATACATAGTAATTACCATCAATTACCATCATCATTTGACATAGTTGCTCACCATCCCATCCCAGCAACCACTGGCAACCACCAATGTTTTTCTCCGCGCGCTGCACTAGGCTCTGCGAGTCGCCCAGCGTCATCAGTTCCCGCGTCATCTCCGAGACCAGCGTCAACGCCGAGATGCTCAGGGTGCAGGAGCCCTCCAGCGACTCCGCAGGGATGGGGGCGGAGGGTAGGCCTCAGGTGAGTTGTGTTTTTTTTTCTGATGTAGGGTGTTATCATTTTATAGGTACCTACGCGAGGCTTACATTTCGCGTACGCGCGCGCACAATTTCAGCCTACGCGGAAGCTTGGGTGGGGATAGGTTGCCTACGCAGGCCTACGCGCGTGAGGTTTTATGCAATTTTTAGCTGAATATGCCTACGCGCCCACAGTCTCAGCAACATTTTCGTATGATTGCGCACCCTTTTACAAGCTGTTCATGATCCAATGATCGCATTAAACTGGGAGAGGATGCAAATGGGATGTGGAAATGTATGAAATCTGTAGTTTTGGGGGTGGCCAAAGATATCAAAAGATGGATCAAGGAAGATCATTGGATGATCTTTCTATGATATGGATTCTACACTAATGTACCATGATCTCTCCCAATGATGTCGGAGCTTACACACGCTGCTTACATGCTTATATTATATTGTAGAAGCTCACTGATCACAAAAAAGGTTTCACGAAACAGCTTGGAATTTGGAAGTTCGATAATGTCTGAAACATTCTGAAACACTCATTCTACTTTATCGCGATTTAGGTAGCAAAGGAAGCCAGTTCTGTTGCATGCAACAAACATCCAATGAAATTCTGAAGGAAATCCACCAAAGTAGACACATCATGACACATCTCCAACCAGTCAACCCTTGCAGCCAGGAAACCCACCATATTCTCCTTGTTCTCAGGGGTTTCAATGGCTTTCTCCGGGCTGTCGCCAGGCCCCATCAACAGGATCTGATCCTCTTCGCGCAACGGCGCCTCTGTCAGATGCTCCTTGGGTACTGGGACGACTTCAGGCCCTGTGGCAGCATCTTTGGCCGGAGCCACCTCCAGCTGTGCCGACTGAACCGCGATGTCATCCGCAAAAATGGCTGCCAAATCCAGCTTCCCATCCTCCAACTTTTCTTGTTCCATCCCAGCTTTCACATCTTTCACATCTTTCAGCCTCAAATCCTTCTCATCGCCCAAGTGTTCCTTCTCTTCCATCCCATCCTTCAGCTCTTTCAGCTCTTTCAGCTCTTTCAGCTCTTTCAGCTCACCCTTCACATCCTCCAAGTTTTCCCCATCCTTTGCCACTTCCCGGACTTCCGGGACTTCCCAGACCCACCTGACCCGCACGGCACACTCCACCCTTGCCACCGCCTCGCTGCCGTGGCTCGAGGTCAGCTCCACCTCCGTCACCCCGAAGCCGCCCGCAGCCGCGTTCGCCCCGAGGGCCACGGCGTGGGCCACGGCTGGGGCCAGGTCCAAGCAGGCGGAGGCCAGGACCTGGCGAGTGTCGCTGAGGAGCAGTAGCCACAGGGGAGCCTCGGTTTTGGGGCAACAAAATGGGGCAGGGAGAATTGGAAGTGGAAACCGCCACAAAAAGTGGGCCAAACAGAGGAGGGATGATGTGTGGAACCAATCAGATTTGAAATGAAGGCAGAAATTTGGGCGCCAGTGAGCATGGATAGGTTCATTGGTGAGAATGATGTTCCCAAGAAAGGTTGAAACCAACCAGATCAGGTATGTCAGTGAAATGGTATTGGATTCCTATAATAATCCACGTCAGTTTGGGTTCAAAAACATCAAGTCCCAGGTATTTCAAGGACTTTGGATGTTCGCATCGCAGGGAAATCAATCATAAAACATGCTGACATCCGCGGCCGGGCATCTCTCTTCGCCATCTGCCGGACCTCCGACCAAGTGACTTCCAACAGCATGGCCTTGCCACGGCCGCCGAAGTGGAGCTGCTTGGTGCCAAGTGAGGTGTCGCCTGCAAGGTGCAGGGGTGGTGAAAATGTGGGGGAAGTGGCCAAAAATTGAACCGAGGCAACCCATGTTTTTTCCGGGTCATGTCTTTCTTGGTAATACTTAATGAGCCACGGGCCATCCATCGCCATCCTATTTTTGGTGGCCACCTGATGACATGATTTGGTAGCAGAGAAATCCCATAGATCATTGTTGCTTCACTTGTGAGATTCTCTTCCGGATCATTGTCTAAAAAGAGATCAACAGAATCCAACTAACTGAAACCACTGCCAAACCATCCATAAAATCACCAGATCATAACAGATCCACCAGAAACTTCACATCTTCTGCACCTGGCAAGGTCAGCAGCACCGGACACCAATCCATGAAGCCAAGGCCCAGGGCCCTGGGCTGCACCTGGCCCTGCAGTGCTTCGAACCTCTCGTGGAGTCTCAACCCCTCGGCCGCGAACTCCACCGACAGCACCGCCATGGCGGTTGGCCGTCGGGATGGGCGTTACATCTGGGGACCAGAAATCATGGGTTTTGTTTCGACCCCTTACCCTGCGAGAGAATCCGTGTTTAGCTGGTCGGTGTATGTGTTTATATATATATATATATTCCCATTTACACAACAGATTAAAAGCCTATCTAAGGGTTTGCCCAGCGATGTACCATGTCTTTTTTGGAGAAAGCCTTCAGATATTTGAATGGGGGCGGGCAATGCCATCAGTCAAAATGTCTTTGCAATCTGGAGATGCAGTGTCTCAGGTGGTAGTGTATCTATTGGGGGTCCTAAGGCCCGCAACGGTCCTCTATGTCCTACGGGGGTCCTGACATTTCGCATGAAAAGTTTGGCTCTTGTTACTCTTGTTCTGCAGAAGCTGCATGAAGAGATTGAAATTTGGGGATCCAATCAATAAGTTGTAATGCTGCAACTAAAGAAAGAACATGCGCATCAAGATCTAGGTACCCAGAGGCCAGACCAAAAGCCTCTTGATATCTCCGTGCTCCTACAGCAGATCCGGTTTCTTGGGAAATTGATGGAAATAGTATGAAATAGTCAGGTTGTCCTAAGTTCGACCTAAACCTATCTTTGGGTGAGGCATAAAAATGTTCAGCTGCAACGGTTCTTTTTGACTTAAGCCGGCTGGAGCTGGCCGTTGCTCGTAAGACAGGGCTTCTGTGTAATGGCCGATCCATGAACACTCCGCATGATCTCATGGCTTTCCCAATTTTAAACTCAAAGATCTAGTCTGAATATCTCTTAATCAATCTTAATATCGTCCTCGTAATTCATTACAGTGAGCGAATCACATGAAGGGGAATTTGAAAGCAACATCGCCCAAACCGAAATCAGATGCGGGACCTTGGAACGACTGGTAGTCCAACTTGGCAATGGACAGTAGGGCCATGAATAGCTAGGATATCTTTCAAGTAAAGCTAGATATTTCCTAACTGCCGAAGTCATCCAAAGTCTGGGGCTGTTTGGCACTGAACCCACTTCCAGCATCAAAATGACTGATCCACAGAGCCACTTCCAGCCCTTCGAAGGTGACCTTAGAAAGGGAAATAAACTTCAGAAGGCACTTAAAATTCCGTCGACTTATTTTTCACCTATGAAATTGATCTAAATTCCAAACTCCGGATATTGAAATTACCCGAATTTGGGGTTGTCGCTCCTACATGATCCACGTTTTTTCCATCATCCAAGCGCCGCTCCAGAAGCACAACTAAGTTGCTGAAGGCACTGTGCCATCGCTTCACGAATCTCTCAGCCAAGCTGTGCTGACCGGAGTCTGCCACTGAGCGCAGGCTGTCATCCATGTGGCCGAATGATCATGATAAGGTGATAAGAATTAGTGGATATTAATGATAATGGTTATAGTTATACAGTTATACATATATATAGCTGTACTGGTTGCCAATAGTGGTTAGTCATATTTAATAAATAATGGCTATTAATCATGGTTCTCATGCATCTACCATCCCAACCTTTATTATAAAGTGACAAGTTGTCGTTGTGCCGCGATGATTCACCCAATCCAGAAAACCGCGTCGACACGAAGCAATACCCCATCGGCCCGATGGCCCAACCGGAGATGAGATCGATCTGTCACACTGTTCTATGGCAGTGTGTCAAAACCTTGTACCCTGGTGAACATCAAAATAGCTGGTAAATGGATGTTCATCCCCCTAAAAATGGTACTAATAGGTATTGATCCATACCCACATGTTCACCATTGTTCACCTGTTACACCAGGATCCCTCACCATGCAAGAGGCATCCTAAGCTGGCAATGGACGAAAGCGCATCGCTCAGGCGGCGTAAAAAAAGAATGCACCAATGAATTCGCAGGGCGAATTGGATGACCCCTGGAGTTCGTAAATCATACGTGCCTTGCCAAGAAACTCCTTTTTTTTGGAATATGTATGTATATATACATACATATATGCGTACACAATTACATGTGGATGTATAAAAGATAGAGAGAGAGAGAGACAGTATGAGTATATAAGTAGTATGTATATATATATATATATATACATATGCACTGGATGAGTCTAGTGGATCTATTGATATACGAACTGCAGCAATCATCCTCATGCAACTAGAACAAACACTCTACATGGTCCGAGTTCAAAACAGCCGGCACCAAACACAGTGCATTGGCACCCGTGCCACTGAATTCTGGACATTTTGCACCAGAACCGATCTGCGGTTTCCGATGTGTGATTGACGTTGTATTTCCAAATTGGGCAAAGTATATGCATCGGAATTCATCGCCAAATCCGCCAAATCACATTATTCATTTTGAAAGCGGTTCAAATACTTGTATGAAGTAACCTTAGAATTACAGTAGATATACTCCGGGTACCTACATTTGCTTGATGCCAGGGTATGGTCATGGTGAGATTCTGCTCCACATTCCACGAACTTCAACCTTCGGCTGGCAGAGCATCACTAGGATCGAGAGGGAACTATCAAGGGATGCAGCAACTGGGATACCATGTTCCCATAGAAAATTCTGGTGTAAAATCCAGTGCCAGTGGCCCCGGGGCCTCCCGGGGCCCGGGGGTGGCCCAAGCCAGGAACAAATCCTGTGCTGCCTCGGAGGCAGCATGGGAATCACTAGAGGGTCCCAATGCAGTACGGACAGCCACAATATGCATGTGTGGTATGTGATTCAAATTGTATGTGCATGTACATATGTGTATAGCAAATTTATTTGAAATTGATGCCATGTCATATCAAATCATAGCATGTCATGTCAATTATCAAATCATGTTGTATATGCTACATTGTGTCTTATCATGGTGCATTGTATCATCTTATGTTAAATCCTATGATACGCTGCCGTATATATTATTGCCTCACTAGTATGTTTGCTATGATTACTACAGTATGTTGTTATACTAGTCACGTATTTATGCTACTAGCGCATATTACTATGCTAGTATGTATAACTATACTTACATATATTGCTATACTAGCATAGCTTACTATGCTATTACAGTATACCTGCTATTATAAATTACTAGGCTAGTATGTGTCATTGAACAATACTCTTGGTGTGTGATTTATTATATCCGTGCATACAGACTTCCATGAAGTACATTGGCCACCCTCTAAAAGAACACGACATATAGATTGCCATGGGACCAAAACGCTGATGGGAAACCAGCCAAATATCGCTGAGACGTGTTTTGCGCAGCTATGGTTTATGAAGTCTACAGTCGACGATTTTGCACAGGCATAGTCTAAAATATGTTTATATGATAGATGATATAGTCTACAGATTTCTACAGCTGCACATGAAATACCAGTAGTTTAGCCCACAAAATACACATGGTTGTTCACCAATGCTTGTGGCCACTGTTTGATGGTCTCCTGAAAAAGGGACTCTTCACAAATGTAGCCCATCTTCAGGCGTTAGAACAAAACAGTTTCGACTGGACGGTGGTTTCACTATGGGCGGCAAAAATCACCCATCTCCCCCGAAGGGTTAAAACCACCAAAACCAATAAAACTTGGGTTGCAACCCGGTTGGACTAGCTGAGTGTCCACGGGTCTCGCAGCGGAATCGGCATCAGATGCACTGGATCGTCTCACGTTGTGGTTTCCTCGGGTGTTCCAACGTGTTCCAATGTTGGGAGCAGAAGTCAGTTGACCCCTGGTGCTGGGGTTTTGCAGTAAATTTGAAGCAATTGCCAAACCTTCTACCAATCCCATCCGTCTTTGGGCCACTGCCTAAGTCATTGCTCCAGCTGTGAAGTCTTGCACCATGAAGTCATATAACCAACAGCAAAAAGTTTTTTGCAAAAAAAAATGATGGTTGCAAGTCACCAAAATCCCCAACCACATATCCATATGATATTTCCATTACAAATCATGGTACAACATGCATCATGCTATCTCAAAAAGTTATAATGTTACCGCCCCTACCAGGCCTGCGAAGTAGAAAATTATCATCCACTTGGGAATGGCTCAAATTTCATCCAACAACCCGTCGCTGCCACATGCTGCCGCGCCACGGGCCCAACTTGTGCCCCATGACAACATTTTGCGAGTCGTCCAAGCCTGGCAAGGTAGTGGCAGATATCTGGGAAGATATGGGAAATTTAGCCATTTTTTAGTGGAAAATGAACCGTTTACAGGGGAAAAGTAGCTAGGAAATAGTCGATTTTTTGGCCATTCTTGGGGAAAAATAAAATATGGTTCGAAGAGAATTTGCTGTTAGTGGTGGAAAATTGGCCATCACATATACCTTTATAAATATACACAAAATATATATATATATTAAAAAATCCTTACATAAGTATGTAGATATACACATGTATACGCACATACACATGTATATGCATACATATATCCGCCGACCCCAGCCGACGGCGGTGGAGCGCGCCAGAGAAGAGGGGACACGACACAAGGAGCAAGAACAAGAAAAAATAAGTATATTAGATTCTGATGACTTAGGACTTATGCCCATCTGGCGACATACGATTTTGTGCACCAAGTCCTAAGCCACTGGGGTTGTCACCAGGTGATTTTTGTGCACCAAGTCCTAAGTCACTGGGGCTGTCATAGGACTTAAGCACCATGTGAGGTAAAAAAAATAATTACTTTACTTCGTGTGATCCCCACCATGACATTTATACATTTTCTTACTGGCAAATCTTCTGGCATTCTATCTGACATATCTTCTGACATTCTATTTGGCATTCTATCTGGCATATCTTCTGGCATATGATATGGCATATCTTCTGGCATATCTTCTGGCATTCTATCTGGCAAATCTTCTGCCATTCTATCTGGCATATCTTCTGGCACTCTATCTGACATATCTTCTGGCATTCAATCTGGCATTCTATCTGGCATATCTATCTGGCATATCTTCTGGCATATTTTCTGGCATTCTATCTGGCAAATCTTCTGGCATTCTATCTGGCATATCTTCTGGCATATTATCTGGCATATCTTCTGGCATATATTCTGACATATCTTCTGGCATATCTTCTGGCATTCTATCTGGCATATCTTCTGGCTTTTTATCTGGCATATTTTCTGACATTCTTTCTGACATTCTTTCTAACTTTCTTCTGCACATTCTTTGTCCCATATCTTCCTACATGAGGTCCGGCAGGGAACACTTGGCATGGATACCCGCGGTTGAGGTCCGGCAGGGAACACTTGGCATGGATACTCGCAGATGAGGTCCGGCAGGGAACACTGGGCGTGGCTGGTGGTGGTTGAGGTCCGGCAGGGAACACTGGGCGTGGCTGGTCGTGGTTGAGGTCCGGCAGGGAACACTGGGCGTGGATGGTCGTGGTTGAGGTCCGGCAGCGAACACTGTGGCTCGCGGGTCGCAGTTGGACGAGGACGACGAGGACGACGAGGACGACGAGGACGACGAGGACGACAAGGACGACAAGGAGGACGAGGAGGAGGCAGGAGGCAGGAGGCGGCAGGAGGAGGAGGCAACTGACATAAAATCTAACAACCCTCACCTGGCAGGTGGGGAAAAATATAAATATATAATTTTCCCCGAATTTCGTAGCAAGGGTTCCAGTTTCACTCTGGGGGTCTGGGGTTGAGGGTATGTTCGCTCGACGTTGCGTTTATTTTCGCGACCGTTCACAACCGTCCGCAACCGTTCGCAACCGTTCGCGTGATGGCCGTATGGGGCGTTTTCGCAAGATGAGTTGCAGTTTTCCTGGCAGGCGCAGCACATCGGACGTGTCCATCGTCATTTTGCGTGGCAAGCGCAGCACTTGAGACATGTCGTGTTGCGTGTTTTTTGCGAATCGCATTGTCGGGGCTGTGTCAAGTGGCGACAAGGTACAAATTCCGTGGCAAACTCCACACTCCACACTTTACACTCCACACTCCACACTCTACAGTTTACACTCTACACTTTACACTCTACACTCTACACTTTACACTGCACACTCCTCACTCCAAACTTTACACTCCACACTTTACACTCTTCCACAACCACCACAACCACCACAACCACCACAACCACCACAACCACCACAACCACCACAACCACCACAACCACCACAACCGCCACAACCACCAGCACCACACTTCAACCCATACGCCTCTGCATCTATCTACGTACCGATGAACGTCATGGCCAGCAAAAAAAATCCGCTAGCCCGCCGCCAAAATCCGCTGCCGCAGACGTAGCTTTCCACGCCCTGCCCAGCCGCCGTCGGAGTGCGCAACATAGCCCCGCATCGCCCCAGTGCATGCCCTTATCTCACGCCACGCATCCCTTTTGCGCCCCCTTCCCTCCCCACCTTGCCCTTTCGTCGTATCCCTCCTTCCTCCTAAACTCGGCTGTTGGGATATATTAATGTTTTAATATATTAATAGATTAATTAATATGTTAATATACCAATATATGAAAATATAACTATACATACACATGTATGTATATATATATATATGTACATAGTTGTCAACTTAATCTAATACGGTTTCTGCAGAGGAAGCCGTCGCTGAAATTCTCAGCTGGCGCCTAAGGAGCTGGAGACCACAAAGTCCGAAGGCGTGTCCAGTCGTGACCAAGGGCTCAACTGGCCATCCACCTGGCCGATGTTTCGTCGTTTCCTTCCAGACATGACGCTTGTTTTGGACTTCCAAATATGTTAAGATATGCTGAAATAGATCAAAAGATCAAACTAATATGTATTGTTTAGATTTGTTTAGATCGAATTGGTTGTTACATGTTGCTACTACTTACATCCTGTTATATACATCTCCCATTTTGTTGGCGGTTATTCCCATGTCTGATTGCATCCTCAGTAACTCCACCCATGAATAGTTGGGGGGGCATGATTACAATCAACTCCTTTTCAAATATCCAGGAATATCGATATTTAGTTCTCTTCAAACTACTGTATGGGGGATCAGAGTGTAACAATCATGCACCTTCTGGTGAGCAAACCTCAGGGATGGGAAACACATGACAACATCATGAAAGTTGATGATCTATCTATATCCTGGCCTGTCCCAGATCGGGATGTTCCACTTCAGCTAGGATTACCCATAAAAACAAAGTTTTCCACCCTCAAAGATGAGGATCTCTTCCATTTTCGCATTTCAAACCATCAGGCCATCCCGCACTCCAATTCCAAACAGGTCTTCAATGTGAAATTCACTAAATCGATCCTATATTCCCATGGTTTTCCCATGGTTTTCCTTATGAAAATGGCTGATGTGTCCCGTCTTTTCTCGGTCAAGGCACCGAACACCCACCGCTGCCGTCCGAGAGGTGCCGCGACGACCCCGTGCTGGTGCGGTGGGAGATGATGTGCGCCACCGATGTGTAGCCTGGAGCACGGCTCATGGTTTTTGGGGCTGAAAGTCAGGGCGCAATGTTCTGTGCATAAAGATATTTATAGATATGTCATATAATATTATTTACACATTTATGTATGTACATATATACTTATAATTTATAATATATCATACATAAATATAGAATTATGAACTATGTGTGTGTGTATAGATAATCATGATATAATGCCAGTAGTGCCGCACAAGGCGGTGGCGGAAGTTTCAAAAATAGGAAACCTATAGGAGAGGTTTGTTGTTGTGAATCACGGATGGCAGAGCGAATCCACTGATGGACCGACAAGTGGTTGGAGTGGTTGCAATGGTTGCAGTGGTCACCTTAGCACAACTGGTGGATGTAGTGTGGTGTAGTGCAGTTGCAGTTGTAGTTGCAGCTGTAGTTGCAGTTGTAGCTGTAGTTGTAGTGTAGTGTCGTGGAGCTGTAGCTGTAATGTAGTGAAATTAGTGTAGTGTAGTATAGCTGTAGTTGTAGCGTAGTGCAGTGTAATTAGTGTAGTGTAGTGTAGTGTAATGTAGTGTAGCGTAGTCGTAGTTGTAGCGTAGTGCAGTGTAATTAGTGTAGTGTCGTGTAGTGTAATGTAGTGTAATGTAGTGTAATGTAGTGGTAGTGGTAGTTGTAGTTGCAGCTGCAGCTGCAGTTGTAGCTGTAGCGTAATACAATGTAATCAATGTAGTGTAGCGTTGTGTAACGTAGTGTGGGTGTAGTTGTAGTTGTGTTTGTAGTTGTAGTGTGCTGCAGTGTATTTGTGTAGTGTAGTTGTAATTGTAGTGGTAGTTATGGTAGCAGTTGTTGTTGCAGTTGTAGTTGTTGTTGTTGTAGTTGTAGTTGTAGTATTGTAGTTGTTGTTGTTGATGTTGTTGTTGTTGTTGTTGTTGTTGTTGTGTTGTGTTGTGTTGTGTTGTGTAGTGTAGTGTAGTGTAGTGTAGTGTAGTGTGGTGTGGTGTGGTGTGGTGTAGTGTAGTGTAACTAGATGTAATTAGTGTAGTGTAGTGTAATTAGTGTAGTGTAATGTAGCGTAGTGGTAGTTGTATTTGTTGTAGTTGTAACTATCTTTCTATCTATCTAATCTATCTATCTACCTATCTATCTATCGATCTATCTGCAAGCTTGAAAACACAGCTATTTTGCGAGACTTCCTCAATTTTTGAACTTGACAACATCAAAAACGAAACAATTCTGCGAACAATTCTGCGAACAATTCTGCGAGACTTCCTTCAAAAATGGAAAGTTGAGTGCAGAGCTGACGGCCTCGTACCAATGCGTTTTGCAATTTTTCCAGTCCACCTGTCTAAAGTACTGCGCCTGCCACGAAAAAGTGATGCCAGGTCATACGAAGTGCTGCACCTGTCACGTAAAAACATCTCGGCAAACCTGAAGATCTGATGCTCCAAAATGAAACCCCTTTCAAGAAATCAGCGCCCGGACCTCCTAACAGCTCTGATAAACATGTCTCTTGTACTGCGCCTGCCACGCGAAATGCATCCATGCAGATCCTCTTCAAATGTCCCACGCCTGCCATCGTTTTTGGAAATGCTACAAAACCCTCACGGTTTGCTCACTTTTAACAAGGTCCACAATCCCTTGCGCCTGCCACGCGAAACGACATCTGAACGAACAAAAGTGGTCCGCACCCTCGTGCTTTTAACATGTTGTCTTCGAAATGTGTTTCGCGCCACAACGGCGTGCACTTTTTCGACATCAACTTCCAAAAGTGGTCCGAGCATGTGGTGCTTTTAACATTCTGACTTCGCAATGTGCTTCGCGCCACAACGGCGTGCACTTTTTCGACATCGCAACTTCCAAAAGTGGTCCGAACCTGGTGTGCTTTGTACATTTTGACTTCGAAATGTGCTTCGCGCCACAACGGCGTGCACTTTTTCGACATCTCAACTTCCAAAAGTGGTTCAAACCTAGTGTGTTTTGTACATTTGACTTCGACATCTGCTTCGCGCCACAACTGCGTGCAATTTTTCATCTCTCATCTGGCCAGCTGGCTCCGCACCCGCCGCTTTAGCGAGCCTACTTTTCGACCCTCCGGAGCCACAAATCATTGGAAAAACACAGTGTTTCGCGACTTTCCGACCTTTTGGCGCACCTGGATCTTCTTTCTTCTGAGACCTTCTCTTTCTTCTTCTCTTCTCTTCTCTGACTCTTCCCATCTCTGCTTTTCATCTGTCCATATTGTCGGAAGTTTGACTTCTAAACTTCCTTCGATGATATAACATATCATCATATCTCATGAGATCATTGTCTATATGATATTGTATCATGATATAACATATCACGATATATCATGATATATCATGTCTTTATTGATTCGGTCTCGAGTTGTTGTTAGCAATTGTGTTGGTCGATCGCCAGGCTTGATAGGCGTTACTTTTTTGGCTAATCCCATTCCTTTCATATCAAATTCCCCCATGGAAGTGCCCCAAAATGAAGAGATAGCATTCCACGTTCAAGTTCCGCGAAGGTGTATGACATTTCGGTGAAGGGTTTTACGCTCGGTGAATGACCCTGGCTGATGCGTCCCCTCTTGGGGTTGTCCCATTCTCAAAATAACCTCCTTAAGTGGTGTTGTTAAGTGGTGAAATGTCAAAACTGCTGAAAGTAACTCCACTTACTTGCCAAGTGAGGTGACCCTCCACATGTAAGACCCTGCAGGCGGAAATCCTGAAGAAATCTGCAGGAACCAACTCAGGACCTGGAAAAAAAACGGTTGACACTGCTTCGGCTTCAGCATATCATTTGGGAAAAAGGCTACGTAAGTTCACTTGAAGAATCAAGTCCCATGCCAAACACGTTTTTCAGATATTTTCAGCAGTTCTGATTATAATTTAACCTCTTCCCGGGAAGTTCACTTCAACCATCTCTTTTAACTAATCCAATGCCCATGGCGGCTCCCAGGGCTTGAAGCGTCGGTCGCAACTGTCAAGGAGCGCGCTAGTTGCAGAGGCGTGTGGCCGCGATGATTTTTAGACTCCGGATCCTTGGCAAACATTCAAACCTGCTATACCCTAGGTTATCAAAATATGTCTGTTTCTGTTTGGTGCTCATACATTGATATATCATGATATATAATATTATACATGCTTTAAACTATGTTATACTCAATCATCAAAACCTGTAACAACAAAATGATCAGAGCTTGCAACATGTTGTAACATGTTGTCACACAGTTGAGAAGCTTTCAACAACTCCAGGGCAGATCATTCGTTTGGTGCAGGGGAGACATGTGCCACACCGTTGAAGCATCCGAGCAACGGCATGGGAGTCCAGCAAGAAATCGACCAAGTCTTGGGAGCCGAACCTGCAAGACGTGACCATAAGGTGCCAATGATGTGAAGAAATTACTTTACTTCGAGTTATCCACACCATGACATCTATACGTTTTGTTACTGGCAAATCTTCTGGCATTCTATCTGACATATCTTCTGGCATTTTATCTGGCATATCTTCTGGCATTTTATCTGGCATATCTTCTGGCATTCTATCTGGCATATCTTCTGGCATTCTACCTGGCATATCTTCTGAAATTCTATCTGGCATTCTATCTGGCAAATCTTCTGGCGCTCTATCTGGCAAACATTCTGGCACTTTATCTGGCATACCTTCTGGCATTCTATCTGGCATACCTTCTGGCATTCTACCTGGCATATCTTCTGGCATTTTATCTGGCATATCTTCTGGCATTCTATCTGGCATATCTTCTGGCATTCTACCTGGCATATCTTCTGGCATATGTTCTGGCATATCTTCTGGCACTCTATCTGGCATATCTTCTGGCATATCTTCTGACATTCTATCTGGCATATCTTCTGGCATTCTATCTGGCAAACATTCTGGCACTTTATCTGGCATATCTTCTGGCATTCTTTCTGACATTCTATCTGGCGTTCCATCTGCTATATCTTCTAGCATTGTATCTCTGGCCGTTGAGGTCCAGCGGTGCTCACTGAGCTCGGAGGGTCCCAGGTTGAGGTCCAGCGGTGCTCACTGAGCTCGGAGGGTCCCAGGTTGAGGTCCAGCGGCGCTCACTGAGCTCGGACGGTCCCAGGTTGAGAGCGGTGCTCACTGAGCTCGGAAGGTCCCAGGTTGAGGTCCAGCGGTGCCCAGTGCGCTCAGACCCTTGCAGTTGAGGTCCAGCAGTGCCCACTGCGTGCGGAAGTTGGCGAAGAGCTTGGCGAAGAGTTGGCAAGGCGGAAGTGGACATGGAAGTGGAGGCAGAGGTGGTGGAGGAGAAGGAGGAGGAGGAGAAGGAGGAGAAGAACAACTCTGATAAAATCTAACAACCCTCACCTGGCAGGTGGGGAAAAAAGTACTGTATACTAATCAGGACGTAGCATCTTCATACAAAGCGTTCCAACCAAGATTCCCATCACTCCAGAAAAGCAGATCTCATAATTCTCACGTTTCACAAAGATTGTCTTTATCAATTACCGTCCTTCCTTTGTGCACCTGTCTTCTCAACGAATCTAATCCAATGCCCAAATCTGATCCATCCATTTGCAAACTCAACTTGTACTAAAATTGAAATTCTATTGATCGAACAAACACCGTTGTTTTGCCCTTTTTGTTCTCACTTCGTTGTGTTATGCTAGAGTGCCTACTGAGATCCTGTTGTAAGGACCTTTTCAGTTCACTCTGCACAGCAAAATTACCTGGTTCTCTCCTTTACATAAACTTATTACTTTTTTTCTCATCCTCTACTTGAGAGATTGTCAGCTGTTCTAGTTTGCACTGCAGATCCAGGATTGCTTGCAGATGCTTGCTCGCGTAAATTTCATTGCTGCTCACTTCAGGTACGCATTTCCATACTTGAATCGCTTTTCCACATGCAGACATTGCTCTATCGCGATTGATTTCAATGGGCTTTGATAAATGCGGATAGTTTCGATTTTCTCAAACTGCATGGGAGCCAATTCTCTCTTATATCCTTTCAATCTGGTAGCACGGCCAAAGACTGCAGGGTATTTGGATGTTCCTACCTTTAACACTTTCTCTGGCAGATTTGAAACGCAGTACATGGATTATTCCTAACTGACATCCAGATACTCGAAAGGCAAGGGCTGCCAATTCTTCATCGCTTTTGTTATGCAACACCTTCATTGCCCATTGCAGTGATCCTGTTTGTGGACGATTGCCGATATGAAGTTGCTTTCCAGACTTTCGATTGTCTTCATTGCTGGTTCAAACGGGTCCGGATGTGAAGGCGCAAGGCGACGATCACAGTTCAGCACCTGACAATGGAGGAGACACCGTGTGGATCCGACTATATACATATAATCTTTTTACACTCAAACACGAGTCCAATTAAACAAAAATGGATTTGATCAGTCTAAGACACGGCTTGCACGAGTTCTGTTGCTGACAAGCTCCGCCAATCCAGAGCTTCAGGTTTGGAGCCTTTAAAAGGCCAAAGTTTTCTATAGATCTTCATGAACTCTTCCCACTCTGAAGCTGTCCATGTTTTCAACTTACGAGCATCGGCGATCTGTTGAATTTGTTGGTTGAACTTATCTAGCCGTCTCCGACCTTCTTGACTCATCTCTGTGCCCTTCTTGATGAGTTCAGATGCCTTTCTCCAGGGATGATCTGAGAAGCCACAAAAACTTTCCCATTCCATAGAGAAGTAGATTTTGCACATAACTATTTTTTATTTAAAAACAAAGTCCATAGTGTCTTCTATTCACATCCGTCAAAAACCGCTACCTGTGATCCTTCTGCATCACCATCACGATTTTGAACACTTGGAGTGCCGTTGGGCATCCTTTCTTCAGTTGAACCTCTTGCAGTGGACAGAATATGCCGCATCTCTTCTCTCAGTTCATCCTTGGCAACCTCAAAATATTTTTCCCATATGTCTTTTGTATTTTTGTGGCTTCTCTTTCAGCTTCTTCTGCTCGCCTGTGTCTCTCCTAAGGCATTGTTGTTTTCTTCGGCGCGGAAAAAGGAAGTGGACGTCATGGAAATTGATAGGGATGAAGGACATGGCAATTAGAATCTGCTCCTTTTTAATGGAGGAAGACGAGTGAACGTCATGGAAATTGATAGGGAAGAAGGGACATGGCAATTAAAACCTGTTACTTTGAATTTGAGGACTTGAAGTGAATGTCATTGAAATTGATAGGGAAGAGGGAATATAGCAATTGAAACTTGCGACTTCAGAATTGGGCATTTGGAGTGACAGTCAAAGAAATTGATAGGGAAGAAGAGACATGGCAATTGAAACGAAGCGATTTAATAGCAATTACGGCTCTTTTTTGTTTTTTCTCGGTTTCATGTCGCTACGCCAACTATTCGTCAATTCAATTTATAGACAGATCTCTGGCCAGATCGCATTCGTTGCTGTTGAACACGATGCCAACAGAAAAGAGCTATGTCACAATGATCGTCAAATGCAGATACATAAGGCATTCATAAAAGCAATAAACTTTGTGACAATACTACATATCTGCGATCGCTGGAAGCTCTTCCTCTTCGTTTCCCTCAATGCAAACAGTTCTTCAAATCGTTGGTCCTTGTCAAGAACATCCATGTCTACTTACTGGCACAACCATAGCAGTCTCATACTGCCCATATCTGAGCTTCGAAGACCTGGAAATCGAACTGGTTCATGAAAACAATCTTCTATAGACCACGTGCCAGCCCGACGAGATCCCGAATAGACTCGGAACCACACAAAGTGCATCCATCGGTTCTCTTCTGCGCATCTCTGACGGTTCTCTTCATTGCAGTTTCTCATCTTGCATGGTAAGTCCAGCTCTGGTTCACCAGGACGTTCAATGAACGATAGCAAATAAATAGCCCAATAGAGTGAGACATGTGACCGGATAGCTTCGTATCCATGCCCATACACTTGCCAGGACCGCTTCACTGTCTATCCTTTCATTGTCTGACCATATCGGCAAATCGGCCATGATCGGAGGCGGACAATAGAAGCACCTTGCAGATGATCATATTTGGCTCTGAACCTGGCCCCAATCTTGCCAGAAATGAATGTAAAAACACCCCAATAATTGTCCAAATTGGAGTTTCGATTTTTTGGGTTTATCACATTACCCTAAAAGGTAAACGATGTTGAGCTGAAAATGACCTAGATCTGTAGGTCCGTTGAATTCTTCAGGTGTGCTAGCCTCCCCAAAATCATGTTGAAAAAAACTATGTTGGCCAAAAGACCATAAAGTCTCACAAACCTAAAACACCTTCATTTGGGAATGCTGTACAGCGCAACCGGCTGTACCGTACTAACCATCATCCACAGTGACGTGATTGTGCAGTGAAGTACCAGTATTCAGCCAGATAAAGTTGGGATGATTGGGATAATTCTTCTGATTCCAAAAGTCAGGATTCAAGACTAACTACTCCACGTGTTGATAATCGTTATCTAAATCTATTGAATCCATCAACAGTTGAGCAATGTTGAGCAGTCGCCAAGAAACATCGCAGCATAGCCCAGTGGTGTGGTGCTCCCCTCTCCGAAAACCCAAATGATGCCCGGTGGCTCCTGTGGGCGCTTGAGCTGGGAAACCTATGGGGAGTTTAGGAGATTCTCAGTGACGAATCTAGATGTAATGGAGATGTCACTATGTAATGTACGCATCGAGTTTTGCAATAATTGAAGATACACAGCGGTCAATAGATAGATACGGATATGGATAAAAAGTCAGCGATAGACAGAGGCCCAGCGAAAAAATAGGTATAGATACAAATAGAGTGAGAAAAGGACAAAAATAGACAGAAATAGATAGAGACAGCAAGACATAGAGAAGGCAGAGATAGATAGACATATAGCTATAACATGCTATAACATGCAATAACTATAGATTTGCTGCAACTAGGGATGCATAGATGGATAGATGAATGGATGGATGGACAGACAGACAAACAGATAAAAAATATAGATAGATGAGGTCAAGATGGATGGAGATAGACATAGTTAGACATACATAGATTTAGATAGATCAGGCATGAACGGGCTAGGTATAAATATGCAGGTACAGACAGAGAGAGAGAGAGATATATATATATATATATTTAGATAGGTATCCATAAACAAAATAATCAAAGGTAGATAAAGAAATAGACATAGACAGGTATAGATAGATAGAAACATATATGTGTAGATTTTGATCAATATACTGTAGACAGATGCAGAAACAACTAGATAATAGTATGTAGATGAATATAGCCAAGGGTAGATGGAGATGGCTAAAGATAGGAAAGATATATATATAGATAGATGGATCAAAATAGGAGAGATAGATCGAGATTGAGGGAGAGAGAGAGAGAGGGAGATAGAGACAGAGTGGGAAGACACAAATAGGTAAAGACAGTGAGAGATAGTGAGAGTAGAGATAGACAGAGGTAGACAGAGGTAGATGATTCGACGGTGAATTAGATGGATAGCTGGACATTTTTTATGGGCAAATCAATGAATAGATGTCAGGGAGGCTGCCAAACGAAGCAGGAACAGAACGGCGAACCCAACTGCAATGTCGAACTAGTTAGGAACTGAATGCTGTTTGTTGATACCCTCTGGTAATTTAACATAGCTATTGAAAATGACCATTAATAGTGGATTTTCCCATGAAAAATAGTGATTTTCCATTGCTATGTTAATTTACCAGAGGGTAATTGTCAAAAACCATCGCCTTTCTCGTGGCTTCATCCGATTTTTCCACCGTCTTAAAAAGTGACTGGGGGTGGATTACATGTGTTTCTCCAACATTCCTTGGATAGCCGGGCAGTGCAAACCTCACAGACCAAAAATGGGACCCAAAAAAATCACACAGTTGTAAAAGGGCAATAAAATGTCGCCCACTGTTTGAACTGCTACCAGTGACATGTCAAAGGAGTCCAAGTATGACAGTAGTCTTGCCTTTCGTCGCAACACTTGTGATGGTTTATCTACAAACATACCACAACACATCACAAATTCCCAAGACAAATGTACATATTCGGGATGAACATCCATGTTCATCATTTTCATTCATTTTCCAGTTGGTTTCAGGTATTCATAGCCATTTGATACCCATTTCAGGGGCTATTCATTGTATCCTGCCGTTGTTTTCCCGTCGTTCCCGGCAGCCCTCCTTGCGCAAGCACAGCGCGGCACGTGCACCCAGCTCGATGCTGCGAAACAAGGCGCCCGCGCGGACGGGGAGATCGGGATCTGCATGGGCCTGGTCACACGCTAACGATGGAAAAAAATGCCATAGAATGACCTAGGGATATTGCATATTTATGTGTATATAATATATATATATATTATATTATATATTATATAATATATATATTATATAATATATATTATATATTATATATTATATATTATATATATTATATTATATATATTATATATTATATATTATATATTATATATATATAATATTATATATATATTATATATATATATATATATTGACATTATATGTATGTCCTCAGGATCTATCAGTACTGCATTCGCATTATGTGTCCCGTACGTATCCATAGCCGCTCTCTTGGCATAGCCCTTGGCCTCCAGCAGTTGCTGAGCCACTGACCTAAGGGAAGCAACTGCAGAGGGGATAACCAGAAATGCATCCACAAATGTGGTGGGTCAATAATTGGCAGTGTGTCAAAACCCTGGTACCTAGTGAACCCCAAAATAGCTGGTAAATGGATGTTCATCCCACTAAAAATTGTATTAATAGGTATTGATCCATAGCCATTTAGCAAATTTAAACATCCCAGAGTGTCTTTAATAAATTGAAGTAGATGGGGCTTTAACTGGGGCTGATCATTAACATTCATTAACACCCCGTTTTTTTTTCATGGAAGCCTACAAAAAAGGCGGTTTCTGCCCGGGGAACGAACATATAGCGATGGAAATCCACCATTTGTGAGGGTCGATTGCCATGTTGAATCGCCGGAGGGTTTTTGTGCAGAAATTCATCTCACAAAATCAGAAAGGGGTTCCCTGTTGATTCTCAGGACCCATTAACATTCTGAGCAGGGAAAACAGTGGGCATCTCCTGCAGTGTTTCAAGAAAGGCGAGGTGTAACAGGTCTCATCTCCGACTCCAGGGAGATGGGGTTCTTCGTTCAGCATCACGCATCAAGTCATGTTCATCCCCACACGATGCTAGTATAACCTGGGCTATCCCCCAACCCACAGTGCCAGTCACCACCAGGTTCGTCATACCCCTCAACAACCTTCCCTATAGCCGCCTTGGGTGATATGGGGTTATATGGGGTATGGTCTCTTTGGATAATTATGGTCTCTTTGGATGTTTAATTGATACTTTAATAAATCCACATTTTCATTGGTGAAAGATGTTGAAATCTTCGATTTTGCGGATTAAGCACCCGGTTTCTTCGATCAGATCAGGGGTCAGATCAGGGGTCACACCAGGTCGGGTTTTTCACCGGAGGCGCAGGGTGTGAGGATTGATGCTGGCATTGATGGCTAGCGAGTGCAGGGGCGACAAACCCAAGCCTCCTGGGAAGGAGAACTGGGATCACAAAGATGGTTCGTTCTGTTGGATGATACCCTCCGGTAAACTAACATAGCTATTGAAAATGGCCAGTTATAGTGGATTTTCCCATTAAAAATTGTGATTTTCCATAGTTATGTTAGTTTACCAGAGGGTACATCTTGAATTCTGAGGAATTTTGGTGGTAAACGGTACAAATGTACTAATAGTGATCATAGTGGTACCACATCCAACTTTGACCCAGACCATCCATACTTATCCAAATAATGCTGAGCAGGGATGCACAAGCTCTGGTTGATTTACAGATCCCTAGAACAGAGATGCTGAAAATGTACCTTACAAATGACTCAACCTGGAACTTCTTCATCCGTCCATATCATCATATCTGTTACTCTGATCTCTCCCTGAAGGTCCTTTCACCAAATTTACGTCTGCTTTGAACTCAATGAACTTCTCAAAGACCTCTGAAGACGCACACCTGGGATGTGCTCCATGTGGTCCACACCATCTGGCTGAATTAAGTCCTGGTAAGTCATGTTGAGGCCATCACTTGTGAATTGTGGAGATTCACCGCTTGAAACTCATCGTGATTGTCATCTTCAATGCTGTCACTGCGGCTACCCTACTAAGCAACATATGATGGATCTCCACTGAATATTTCACCTCACTGACAGGGCTGGTGAAATGCCTCTGTTCAACATCCACAATCACATTGTGCAGAACATCTCCCAAAGTCCCAACTTTGAAGGGCATCTTCAAAATCTGGGAAAATTACCAACCCCATCAAGTGACTCTACAACTAAAGCTTATCCAGGTCACATTTTATCTATAGTATTTATCACTCTATACTGATCAAACATCGCTAGCTGAAAAAAATCCGCTCTTTATGAGTTTCCCAGCGAACTACTGTAAACCTCCTTTCATCATGGATTTGCCCATGATTTTCCCATGATGTTCCTATTAAAACTTCCATTTTTGGGGGAGTTCCAACCAGGGTGCCTCAAAGACGCCAGCACCAGGGGCGAGGCCATGGTGGGTGGACCTCAATTAGCCGCCGAAAGCTGGGAATTCACCATGAATTATGATGAATTTCATAGGGTTTAACCATGAAAAATGGAGATTTCATAGGATTTTTTTAGTGGATCTAGGAAACTAGTTGTAACCATTTGTCATGGAGAATTGACAGGAGCTCATGTGGTCATAACTAGTTATCACCATCTAGTGGAGATGTAATAGGAATTATATAATTGATTTATATGATGATGATATTTAATATATTACCATGTAGTAGAGATTTAATGGGATGTTGATGCGGATGCGGATATAATGGTTTATAACTAACCAAATGTACTTAATCCCTTTCCTTAATCAATATTCAACACCCCCCATAGACCATGGTTCTATACCGGATTTATATACACATGTGTGGGACCATTGTAGGGGGTGTCTAATTCTAGGGGGATTGGATTATAGTGTTGACCCTCCATTCTTGCTCTTAATTCACCAATGTTTGTGCTCGGAAACATGATGATCACTCACCAACCAAACCGAGCTTTACCAAATAACTACATCCAACCAAATAAAATGGCAATCCATATCCCCAAGTTTTAATCTTTACATTTGTAATATATATATATATAGTGTGTATATATATATAATTATATATATATACAGCTACTATACCAATGTATGCATATATTATATACATGTATGTCCCCCAATGTCACTCACTTATATCACTTACTATATGATCTATATGTTATTGCTCTATTAAATTATATCAAACCGTTCTGATTGGACATGGTATCGCCCCACCATCCTCCCCTTGTGTCCCAAGATGCTGAGCTTGTTGACATCCGCCGCATGCTTCACCAGAAGGTCCACGCCAGCGGCAGACGTGCAGATGCCCAACAAGGGATGGCCCAGGCGGTTGGTCGCATTGGGATCTGAACCTCGAGCACCATAAGCTTCCTAGGATAGACATCCCAAAAATACCAGTAATATCCGTTTAATATCCAGTAATGTTGGTGTTGTATGGTGCTGTGATATCCCCATGGTATTCCCTAAAATTTTCAGATCTACCCCTAATGTTTAACCCCAAACGATGGTTGCCATTGTGCTTGGCCATTATACACCCCATTGTTAGCCATTGTTGTTGGTTAAAACCTCCAAAATGATGCTCAACAACCCCCATGTCCAGTTCCCCATTGGTTTGGGGAGTCTCCCATGATATTCCTCAAATCAATCCTCAAATCCTCAAATCAATCCTCAAATCGATCCATGTCAATCCCTTTTTTTTTTTTCGCTATCCCCATTGCTTTAGTTGGTCAACTCCCTCCATTTTTTTTGGGTCACCAGGTCACCACATGGGTATGGATCAATACCTACTAATACCATTTTTAGGGGAATGAACATCCATTTACCAGCTATTTTGATGTTCACCAGGGGTACAAAGTTTTGACACACTGCCACATCCCCATCGTTGGTCAATTCCCGAGAAACGCAGCTCCAGCAGAGTTGACATCGTCTCCAGGCCACGCGTCGAGCTGCTGTGGGCCGCAGCCAGGTGCAGAGGAGTCCAGTCCTTGGTGACTCGACGTTAGACGTGGAATGCACGGGGGAAAAGGGTACCTGGGAACGTCAAAGCTATCAATATGAATGCTATCAAAGCTACATTAATCATGGGATCAATGTAAAATATGATGTATGTAGATGAAGACACAATAATATACAATAATATACATGTTCTGATCCTGAAAATGACAAAAGAGGGGAAGTGAGAGATAATGAAGAGACAAAAGAAGATCTCTACCCTCAGAAAAAGATGATCCAGAAGAGCCCTGAAATTGCCGGAAACCACAAATAGATACAAATAGTACATTATATTTGAGAGATTTTGAGAGATACACAAGTCATCTAGGCTGGAATGGCTGGCCATCTTTTCACGATTCCCTCAGGTCATAGTCTCGCACTATGGCCTCTGGGATTTTTGTGGGCTGTGGATGGCTATGGTTATTCCAGGGCCCAAGTCCTCCAAAGAGTTTTTCATCTTGGTTCCATGGTCAGGCGTAAAAATGTTGTCGTACTTTTTAAAGGATCCCCAGATCCGAAAAATTCCCGAGAAATCTCTATGGATCTCTATGGATCTCTTAGGGGCCACACATCTGTAGGAAGCCTCGATCACAAGATCTCCCCCCGAATTGTGACTGTCGAGCTACAGGCAGCACATCCACCTGCCGGAGTGGATGAATGCTGCTCAAAGAGCAAATGTCAAAGATGAAAAGAGAAAGCGAAATCACTGCATACCATCCTCCAGATGACACTGGACCCGGCTGCTCAGGTGCCTGTTAAGCAGATTGAGTATCAGAAGGCTTTCCACAGAATACATGCTGAATTTCTCGCGATCAGTTGACTTGTCACGCACATGCTGTGTGGTCAATGAACCTGGTAGCGCCAAGTGTCCCACCATGTACAAAGAGTATCGAAGAGTGATGCCCCTTTTGGAAATGGAAGTAATTGAGCAAGCTGCATCATTATCATCATTTGTTCCAGGAGGCTGCAAAACATCAACATCCATGTTCAACAATGACTTTCCACAATTGAGCCGTTGTCAAACCCGCTGTACTCCTATCCCACTTGGTTGTGGGTTGAAAAGGATTGCGAGTTCAATTATGATCATACATTACCAGTATTTACCAGTCATATCCATCTCTCCAATCTAGAAAGCCATCAAATAGTCATCATTTCTGGTTGATACCGCCTTTTTTGATGCCATTATCAAGACGGAGATACCCTCACGCCAGACCGCACCTCCACCAACGGCGGCAGCTTGGAGTTCAAAGGCGCCTTCATCTGTACGAGCTGCCGGACCAAAGACACATCCTGGGAGATCCCGGGACGAGTTGGATGGCTGGCTGGTTTCAGCAGCTTGGATGCCCATTTTGAGTCAATTTCCGAGAAAATTATGGAAATTGAACGTTTTTAAGTGAAAACTGTGCGAGTTGCAACGATACGTTCACGGCTGCGAACCGCAATTCTTGATGAGGTGAAACAAACAACCATCATGAGAAACTGTTCGATTCTGGGTTCAACACGTCTCAATGATGTGAAAGTCAACTGGGATCATCGTCCCACTCCGGTGGAAAATCAAAGAGCTGCTTGCCGCGCCAAGTCTCAGAGGAAAGTGCTGCGCAGGCCAAAGCACACATGCCTTTGGGTCGTAGCGCCACCTGGGGATGGTTTTAACCTATGTTTCAACCCAAAAAGCACAACACCAAGCAGGTTTCCACTTCATGAAGCCATAAACCAGCTAATCAGATTCAAAAAAACAACTCCACCAGCCTCCAATAAATGACTCTTTGACACATTGTGCTATTGACATCTTAGTGCCAGCACAGGCTACGCTTCGAGCCCACTCAGCCTCTTCCGAAGGAAAGCGGAAGTAGCTGAGAAATTCCTCCTTCGTCCTGTGGCGTCCCAACCACTGGCTGTGGACTCAGTGAGCACTGCTGTGATTGGCAGTACATCTCATCATCTGGACCACTTACCTGCAATTATGTTTTTTACTTCTATAGCTATAAACAATTCAGTTGAATTTGGGCCAATTCCCCTTACCAACCACCATCTATCTATCTTTCTATCTATCTATCTATCTATATATATATTATAGATATATATATATATATATACATATATATATACATATATCAGCAATGGTGAGATCTTTGTGAGGTTTGCTCTGGTTTGCCCAGAACACGTAAGAACTATCAACAACAGGGACCGGGACGACACAACAACCAAGCAATCACAAATGTGCAGCAAGTTCGGCCATAAACTCGATTGTTTAAGCCTAGATCTTGGAGAAAAAAACGATGGAGCGTTTTGGAAAAATATGAAAAATAAATCAAATTGGACAAGTCACCAAAGTTCAAACATGCAAAACTTTAGCCACGTTCCGTTTAAAGAAAAAAATCCTTTACAGATACAGGTTCCACCGGTGCCGCAGCGCCTGGATGGAGCGGCAAGGCCCAGAAAGTGCTCATATCTCGCAGCATAGTACCTGGCAACGTTCGACAAGATCATGTGGTACCCTCTGGTAATTTAACATAACTATTAACTATGGAAAATCACCATTTTTAATGGGAAAATCCACTATAAATGGTCATTTTCAATAGCTATGTTAAATTACCAGAGGGTAACTGTCCGCCTTGTTGCCTTAGTAGATACGCTTTATCATGGAAATTACAGGAAATTACCTACCATATCCAGTTATCCAGTAGATATATCATGATGATTCATGATGTATCTTGTGTAAAGACATGATAACGGTTGATAGCAGATATCCGATATCCCTAATGGTTGATAACAGATATCAGATATCCCGAACCCAACGTTTCTAGGTACCTCCTGTTGCGAAGGCACATTTGCACTTCAGCTTGTTTTTTCCACCAAACCATACCGGCAAAGATGCGGGCAGACCCCACATTCGCCGCCTGAAGAGATTGAGATTCTTCTTCTGAGAGAGCCGTTGCAGCTTGAAAGTCAAAGCTGCCTTGATGAATTCGCACACCTCCTGGGGTCCCCGGTCTCACAGCGCGCCCGGGAGGTGCTATAACTACCAGTTGCAGGGATGATACGACCATACCCGCGGCCCGCCGCTAGAGTTATATAAACTTGTATGTGTATATATATATATGTATATATAGATTATACACCTGTTTCATTTGTTTTTGACACAAGTATAACATTTCCGTAGGGAACTACTACTGCAGGTCTAACGGAAAGAAAACTGATAACCGCCCTCTACGAAGTGATGAGCCAAGGTTTCAGCAACTGTGCAACCCATCCCAAACGTATTATATAGCCATTGAAAATCATCATCATCATCATCATCATCACCTTCTTGTTCTTCTTTTTCTTCTTTTTCTTCTTTTCCTTCTTTTTCTTCTTCATCTCAGGTAAGGATAGGTGAGCGATGAGGGTGGACATATTAAACTATCTCAGATTATACACGTATGTATATACATAATATAATATAAAGTATATGTATATATATATGTGATATATATAATATAATATAATATAATATAATATAATATAATATAATATAAAATAATATAATATAATATAATATATCATAATATAATATATCATAATATAATATAATATAATATAATATAATATAATATAATATAATATAATATAATATAATATATATATATATATTTGTGTGTGAACATGTTTGAAAACCTTCCATCCCTCTGACATCTTCTCCCCCGGCCCCAGTGCCCCAGCATTCTCCCAGAAAAATCTCCTGTCGGTCGTGATCATATGAAAACTGCCCCTCATGAACGGGGCAATCCAACCACTGCAGTGGCATGATGAACCTTGGCTCAAAGCCAGTCATTGGGTTTTGTCTCCGATCATCAATTTTTGGCAATAAGAAATCCGCCTTTTTGGTGTGTGCCAAACTGGGAGATACATGGAGATACCCTTTTTTCACGGAAATTTTGAACAATTTTGATGCAAGACATAATGATGGAATTTGGCTTTCCAAATCGTGGAATGGTGCCCCATTTCTTCATGGCAACTTCATCCATCCACACACTGAACGAATCCACGAATCGCTGTTGGCGACCACCCTATCTTTGGGGTCGATCCACATCTTTGTTGGTGAGATCAGTGAGATACTTAGTTTTCCAAACAATGATGATAAATGGAATGATGATAAATGGAATGATGATAAATGGAATGATGATAAATGGAATGATGATAAATGGAATGATGATAAATGGAATGATGATAAATGGAATGATGATAAATGGAATGATGATAAATGGAATGATGATAAATGGAATGATGATAAATGGAATGATGATAAATGGAATGATGATAAATGGAATGATGATAAATGGAATGATGATAAATGGAATGATGACAAATGGAATGATGACAAATGGAATGATGACAAATGGAATGATGACAAATGGAATGATGACAAATGGAATGATGTGAAATGGAATGATGATAAATGGAATGATGATAAATGGAATGATGATAAATGGAATGATGATAAATGGAATGATGATAAATGGAATGATGATAAATGGAATGATGATAAATGGAATGATGATAATGGAATGATGATAAATGGAATGATGATAAATGGAATGATGATAAATGGAATGATGATAAATGGAATGATGATAAATGGAATGATGATAAATGGAATGATGATAAATGGAATGATGATAAATGGAATGATGATAAATGGAATGATGATAAATGGAATGATGACAAATGGAATGATGACAAATGGAATGATGACAAATGGAATGATGACAAATGGAATGATGACAAATGGAATGATGTGAAATGGAATGATGATAAATGGAATGATGATAAATGGAATGATGATAAATGGAATGATGATAAATGGAATGATGATAAATGGAATGATGATAAATGGAATGATGATAAATGGAATGATGATAAATGGAATGATGATAAATGGAATGATGATAATGGAATGATGATAAATGGAATGATGATAAATGGAAATATTGCTTTCCCTGTGCTTTCCCCGTCTTTGTTGGTTTGAATTTTTAGACGCCTACTGCCGTCTGGTTGCCTCGCTATTACATATTCCCAGTTTGTCCAAGCTGCTGGGGAATTGAGAGGAAACCAAATTTCACCAATCACATCAAATTTTAATGTCAAAAACCCCTCTTTCTTGGTGTTTCTTATATTGGTGTGTCTGGAAATTGCTATTTCATAGGGAAAACGATGATAAACTCTGTCGTTGCACAGGTCAGCCAGGGAGCTTCACGTCATCCACAGCAGAAACCACCTCGGCGACGCTGGTGATTAGCATTTGATGGTTTTTGTTTCGATTCCTCGGGATACACCAAAAAAAATGCGAAAACCAAAAAAAACACAACCATACAGAGAAATGATCTGGAATGTTGTGATTTTCTGGTTTTGATTAATATCCATCTCATAATCACTTTCCATATGGAGAAATGATCAACAATCCCGTGAGTTCAACTGCAGCTTGTTTCAGACCACCGAACCTTGGAACACGGGCTCTTCGCCCATCTTTTGAACCGGAAAGACCCGCAGGTCCCAACATTTGCACATACCTCACATACCCCAATTCATCCTAAAAGCCGAACGGTTTCCCATCATCTGTATATATATATATATGTATTATATATGTATATGTATATATGTATATGGTTCAGCCTCCCAAAGGTCCTGGAAACCATTCCTTTTTGGTGGCTCACTATAGTCGTCCCATCCCTGGCCGCGGGCGGGGTCTCCCCTGGATGAAGTCATGCTGCGATGATGGGGAAATCCGACTTTTCGCTCAGCAGTTTGCACCACATCTCTGCCCGGCACCAGCCCCGACCTCGGACGGAGACATGCGGAGCAAGAATCATCATCGTGGCAAGATACAGTATAATATTATGACTATATTGTGATTATATACATTGAAAATAAATGAAAATAATAATGAGAAGAATCAGAAGAAGAACAACAGCGATAATAGTAATTAATAATAGGATACTAATAGCTCAATATTAGCTCAATAATAACAATAGTAGCAATCAGCTATCTGTTTTGCTGGGCAAGATTGGTACTGCATGGTGGTGCTATAGATATGCTGTCAATGGTGTTAATTGGATCAGCACAAGTTACAGAGGAATCATTAAAACAAAACAGTAACAACAAAGACAAAGCAAAAAATACTATTCACAATGTGTTGTATAAAACCAATAATCTCAAACAGCAGTGCTCATTATGCCAACAAATAAAACCTTGAACAAAACTAACAATAATCATAATTATTATATAGATAATGACAAAGACAACAATATACGAAAAACTGGCGATGCAACAGCATCAATCATCATCATTCTGATAATCATTTGGGTCATACGGGGGTGTGCCCACTACATTGGATTATCTAGCAAAATGTCGAGAACCTTATCTGGCTATTGAACAACATTTTGAATGAATCCGTATTGGTCTCTGACTGTTTATTCTTGGCGTTCATGCACAAGGAGGACATCATCTGGTGTCTTAGGAGGGGAGCAGGTGCCTGCAGGATGCTGCTACCAAGAAACAGATGATCTTCAAGCTCACTGAAAACTTTGAATGACATTATACGATCGACGATGGTTGTTTGATATGTCACGTTCTGCTGTTGGTGCCATTGTTCAACTCAATGCCTGAAGATCTGAATATGTGCGTCTCCTACCAGTTTGGGTGATACCCCTGCAAGTAGACCCCTCTAAATGGCAATTCTAACAGGGATAATGACAATTCTTTACTAACGTCGCTGAGGCCGCTACCGAGCCAGGTGAAATAATTCAGTTCTTCCTGTCGCGCAGCTGCCGGGAAATTCTTGGATCGATTGAGTTCCCATTGTACCACAAGAAAATTGTGAAAAACCAAACGCACCCAAAAATAGGTGAAGATCGCAAAATAGTCGCTGTGGTACCAGGGTACAGTGACCCACACCCCCTGGTTCATACAGGAATGAACTGGCAGTTGCAGCTTGTGAAACCTAAATCTGCACAAAATGCACATCATGAGGAGCGCCATGGTCCACCGTAGTGAAAACACGTCATATCAAATGACTGGGAAGCCGTATGAATTATTGAAACTCCAGCATTACGACAGTCCCCAGAAGAACTGGAGATCAAACAGAGTCTAAGACGGAGGAAACAAAACAGTCTCGGATTTTGGGATCAAACCATCTGTCTAATTTGGGGCTGTATCCTCATGTTTGCGGCGCTGTCCTCATTGTTGTTGGTCAAAGTCCCACTTCTTCTGTTTGGAATATAGACACCACCGAACAAACGGAGTAAAATTATCACTATCTGGGTTTGTCTGACAATGTGGTCTACCCTCAAAAAAAGGCTACTCCAAATGGAAAACTATGGAACAATCCATTGGAATTAGGGGTGCCCCATCCATCCACGGCTGTTGTTTTTTTCATCTTTTTTCCCGGCCAACCAGGCCATCCCATCTTTGGCACCTGCTTTTCGTTGATCATTCTGGGCACCAGAGCTACAAACATTTGGCAGGCATCCACGTATGCTGGAATCGACCTGCCACCATGGTGAGTTCACCCATGACGATGGCATATACAGGTGTAAACGGCTGTATATACATGTAAGTATATATAATATGTATGTATATGTATGTATATGTATGTATGTAAATATGTATGTATGTATGTATGTATGTATGTATGTATGTATGTATGTATGTATGTATGTATGTATGTATGTATGTATGTATGTATGTATGTATGTATGTATGTATGTATGTATGTATGTATGTATGTATGTATGTATGTATGTATGTATGTGTGTATGTATGTATGTATATGTATGTATGTATGTATGTATGTATGTATGTATGTAGTATGTATGTGTGTATGTATGTTATGTCTGTATGTATGTATGTATGTATGTATGTATGTATGTATGTAATGTATGTATGTATGTATGTAATGTATGTATGTAGTATGTATGTATTATAGGTATATATGTATATAAATATGTATGTATGTATGTATGTATGTATGTATGTATGTATGTATGTATGTATGTATGTATGTATGTATGTATGTATGTATGTATGTATGTATGTATGTATGTATGTATGTATGTATGATGTATGTATGTATGTATGTATGTATGTATGTATGTATGTATGTATGTATGTATGTATGTATGTATGTATGTATGTATGTATGTATGTAGTATGTATGTGTGTATGTATGTATGTATGTATGTATGTATGTATGTATGTATGTATGTATGTATGTATGTATGTATGTATGTATGTATGTATGTATGTATGTATGTATGTATGTATGTATGTATGTATGTATGTATGTATGTATGTATGTATGTATGTATATTATATCATAATACATATATATATATATATGTATATGTGTATATATATATATGTATATGTATATGTATATGTGTATATATATATATATGATAGTGCAAATCGTATTCAATATGCAATATCTTGTGTTGCAAGATAGTTTGGAAACGAGTTGCGATTCCTGGGATGCACATCCAAGTACCCTCTGCTAGCAGTGTTGGACAAGCATGGTCTGAATTGGTGATAACAAGAGGGTAGCCAAATTGAATGATGATGATTTTGGTGCTCCTAATTGCTGATTCTCCCGCCATTTGAGATTGCCACAAAGACAACAGGGGGGCATCCCAGTCATCCCAGATGCAATTCATCATCCCAGAGGAGCCAGAAACCACTCTTCAGTTCTGGCGATCGGAATCCATTCAAATCATGTTGGGCCATCATTGAAGGGGTAGGTCACCAAAAAAAAATCACTGTAGGATAAGGATTGGAAAAAAATCGCTGGGTTCCATTTGGGATATCGGCTGTTCTGTTAACTTGTGGGCCCCTGAAATCCTCCAAGTGGCTGAATTCTGGGCGCTACATCTCTGTCGGGTAAACAATGCCATCCCCGTAAGATGAAAAGAAACTTCCATATGATCATTAGGGGCCCAAAAAAAAAATAGATCCAATGCTAAACGAGGTTTTTAGGGGGGTTATTTAATGTCCATCGTGAGCGATTCGCCCAGCTGCCTGATACATAGATTTGCCTTCCTGGTGAAGCAAAACCGGCCAACAAAAATCCAAGAAAGCATGCTGGGGGGGGGTCCTAAGTCGTGAAGGACCCCAAAATCATCCAAAGATCGCTCATTGTTCATAAACACATTGATTTGGGGATAGTAGTCCACTTATTTTTGAAACACCCGTATGTCATCTGACATGGCAACGGAGCAACCACCATGTACAAGTATGTTCCATGGTTTTCCTCTTGAACATCCGGATTTCCCATGCTATCTTGCCCAAGGGTACCTTAAGTAGAAACCCGATTTCGGCATCTGGAGTCCAGGCTGGGAGAATAATCCAAAGCTGAGCACAGCAATACATCCAACATGATCCAACAAATGTCATAGAAACATATAGAAACATTGTAATATTGTAAAACACACATATATATATATAATTATAATGATATATTATATATATATACGTATGTTCAATATTGTATATTATGAATATATATAATTACCATCAGTTTATGGCCATGTTCAGTATGTTTCGGGAAAATGATGATTCACCATCTGGTGGATCAGTCCTCTGAACCTCTGCTCGTAGCTCGCCGTTTTGCTCAACGGAAGCTTGTGGCACTGAAAACCAGTCGAACCACACCTAGGCGCTTGGGATGCAACACTGCCTTGAGCATCAATGGATGATAGTCAACAAATGTCAACAATATCTCTAGTGACGCAACAACATGGATGCACAATGATGCACAAAATCAAGACAGTGCGTGCCTGTGACTGTGTCCATATCAACCTGCAACAACACAAGACAAGCTTTCAAGACTGGCTCTTCCGCCATGTGACTGAAGATTTTGTTGGCTTTCACTAAGAAAATCAACCCCCTTTAATCAAATCGCTGCTTCTGATTGTAGTGATTGATGGCAATCGAAAATCCCTCCATTGCCACATTCGATCTCATAGGGTACCCATGGGTACCCCAAGCATTTGTTTCCGCCTGCCAATGACCCATCCAATTGGGTTTCTTTTGGGTATCCCCGACTTTCGTACGGAATGGGTTATGGCCGAAATTTGGGTACAAGAAAGAGAATGGATGCTTGGTACTAAGAAGATTGAAAAAGCATCTAAGAAAATCTATAGACATCTAAACCTGACATGAAATGATCCCAAATCCGTAGGCTTCATCCCAAAATTTCACCAAGACACATAAGCGTCCTTCAGCAGAGCGCGGTCCTGGAGCGTCCTCGGGGAGGGGACTCAGAAATCAGGGTCCAGTGGTCCATGTCTTTCCAGCAAGTACCCTCTGGTAAACTAACATGGCTGTGGAAAATCACCATCTTTAGTGGGCAAATCAACTATAAATGGCCATGTTCAATAGCTATTTTGACATAACCAGAGGGTAGATCAATCAATGGCAATTTCAGGATCCTAAAATGGAGGCACTGTACCATATAAGGCCATATTTTGCGGAGATATTCACTTACATAGGCCTTATATATGGTAGGTACCTCCAATTTAGGAACCTGACATGGCCATTGAATCAAGGATGATGAAGGCCATCTTCCCCAAAAATTGACCAAAGAAAACCAAGGCTCAAGGTTTTCTGATGCCCCAGGAACTGCGAGGTCATGTCCAACTCCAGGCGTATGGTGCCGTCCAGCACCTGGTAGTTTTGTGATGTGTGTCATGGCCATCCATGGCCCGACTACGGGTGGCATCACATCCCCCTAGTATTGAAACCCCCCTACAGTAAAGGGTTCCATATATACCAATATATATATATACACAATATATATATATATATATAATTATATATATATAATTATATATATATAATTATATATATATAATTATATATATATAATTATATATATATAATTATATATATAATTATATATATAATTATATATATATATCCATATAGGTGTAAATCTACTACTAAACCATGGTTTCTGAGGGGCTGTTTAGTGGGGGGCTGGGATTTATTGAAATGATCGAAACATCCAAGATGTTCCAAGTTATATAGAAACCAGACATGGCTTGGTCTTGAAGTCTGCTGTTCAAAATCCACCAACTTGGGCATTTACAAATGAAAGATCCAAGTGATTCTGGTATCTCAGGAGCAACTTGGTTCAATCCCGAAAAAAGTCAAAACGAATCAAATGGTTGTTGGCCGACATCCCCAGTCTTTGCTACATCTCCCTATTTCTTGAAAACGGCGATGCCCAACATCCCCGACCCATGCCTTTCTCAAGGCCTTTTGCAGATTCCGGAATTGGTTGCTGCTGGGGTCTGGGTGTGCTCCTGGTCGAGCAGATACGGACCCAGCATGGCCAGGTGGGTCCCTCCTATCCACTCAGCTCCCCTCAAAACGTGTCCTGCCAACCACTGGTGCGAGACAAAGATGGTGAAGAACGAGGGCTGGTGCTCATGGAGCATCTCAAGCTTCAGCAATTCTTGATAGCCTTGGTGGCGAGACTCTTTTGTTGAATCATTGGAAAAGTGGGAATGCATTGGATTTCATTAGGAATTTCATGCGGGAAATCCCATGTGTCGCAGCAGCAAAAATCATCTTCCAAACATCAGATCCAGTCCCGTCTCCATGCGGCGAAGAACTAAGGATCACTGGGCCAAGCGCACTTATTTCACGATGTTTCAAGTTGAGTTCCAAAGATTATTCGGACCTCGCAAAAAAAAAAAAACGACATATATAGAGTGAATTCAGCTTGATTGATTCTCCGCAGACAATTCAGAAGGATGTCATTCGAAAGCGATTCATCGCCAGCCAATGATTACCACAAGTTGCTTAGAACCGTCCGGTGCCATGTTTGACCAGGACACACTTCAGCGTCCCGCGCATCTGCAGTACATCTGCAAGTTTCCTGGGATGTAAAGCTGCAAAAAAGATGGCTGGATGTGCATCCCACTTAGGGAGTGCTTGGTAACCAACAGTGTAACCTAGTTACCAGTATATGTATGTATACTTAGGGTATCATCCAGTGGTGTGTAGGTTACAAGCCAATTTCGAATGGGATGCACCCCCAAGGCCGCTTCGTCTCACCCTGTGCCCCCAAATTGAAGATCTTGACGGAGAGATGCAGCTGTTCCGACCCCAAGAAACACACATCACCCTTCCATGTATGTACCACAGTATCCACTTCAAGTAACATGAAAGTTTTCGAGTCGTTTATTCACCAAACTCGTTTTGTTAGTTTCATCTTTGCTGTTTTCTCAATTGTTTCCTCAAGCTTTTCCGAGAAACTCTATTTTTTTCCACACATGTTTCTTCATACAATTTGTGTGTCCAGTCTGCTCCCAGTTTTGGTTTCTATGTTATATTTCCAGAAACGGATCAGTTCTTCACGTATTTCCCAATTGCTCCTAGTTCTTCCCCATGTTTTTTCATGATAGATGGTTAGTTAATAGCAAGTGGCTAACAATATTTCCACCGCAATAGATCTGGTCAATAATAGAAAAAAAGCACCATTATTTTAATTAATCATAATATATGAGCCATGGTCAATACTCACTATATGGTTGATGGTCATCCCATCCATAATAAGGATCCTTTTCTTATGGTTATTATAAATCCTTATTAAAATCCATTGGATGACTAGCACCTATTAATGGTTATTAACCATGAGTATTGACCATAGCTCATATGATGATGTCCCATTACTTCCACCATTGGCCAAGAAACACCACCATCATCGGAAGGTGACAGCTGTGTGGCGACTCCATAGCAGCCCCGTGGCGTCCTATCGTGCAGCCCATGGCGATGAACACCACGAGCAACTAAAAATACGACGAGGACGACACTGAGCCAAGGGCTGCGGGGGAGAAAAATGGGGAAGTTTGATATGGGGGACATATGGGGATTATAGGTAAAGGGCCAAATTTGGTCTTTTTCAAGACGCTGTTTTTTGCATGTCTCTGTTCATCTACGGCCAAAATGATGGAAGAAGTATGAAAACGCGGGAATGTGTATCACGTATAATGCGTATACTGTATACATAATGACGTGTGTATATATATATATATATATACATATAATCGTAATCATATAGAACATCGGTTCATCTCCGACCAAGCTATTAATGGAAAGTGATGAAGAATGATGGAAAAAAAAACAACCAAAACATCGAAAAATTCGATCTTAGCCCGAACTCCCGAACCAAGAATGGGATGGTGTATCCCGTATTGGAGGCCAGAGTGGTTGGAAAAGTGGAAAAATCGTGGGAAATTATAGGAATGAAAGGGGATATGATTCTGTCATGCTGGACATGGAGTACTCAAAAATTGAATGCTTTGAACATCTTTGAAGTATATCATAGATATTCATAAATGATCAAAATCTGCAGGTGCCAGCGTCTCAATCTCTGAATGGAAACCCTGGCAGGCAGCACGTGGAAAGCCCGATGACGAACTGCCGCAGATCCAACCTCAGACGGGTTGGAAAGGGCTTTAAATCCAATTGCTGGACAAACCAACTAATCCATTTTGAAAATTGGCGACATCCCAGTTCTTAAGTCTAAATCACCTCCATCCCAAAAAAAACAGATCATCTGAAATAATCTCAAGTGATCCTACATCATGTAAAATCGTTGATTTTCATCATCTTAAACCATCTACTTAAGTTCAACTCATCTTAAATCGTGCTACCCTCTGGTTATTTAACAGTTTGTCATGGTATAGATGGCCCATAGAAATAGATGCTTTACCGTTCTTAATAGCATGGTGGATCTTTCCATGGCGAACTGTTAGTCACAACCAGATGGTAAATCTCCCTTAATCATCATTAGTCATCCATTAATCACCATTAATCACCATTATTAACCAATATTAACCAATATTAACCATGGTTACAAGTAAATCTCCCCATTTTGGGACTGGATGAACTCACCAAAGGGTGGTCCGGAAATTGCCGCGCGGCTCACCCTCCCGTTCCGCGTCGAAGGCATCGAAGACTTCGCGCATCTTCTCCGACGGTTTCTGCGAGCCGATCACTTGGGAAGGAAGAATTTAATGGCTATATGGCTATATAGTTACTAAGCATGGTTATGCAGTATTCTATTGGTTGTATAGTGATGGTTATAGAAAAGTAATTGATTAATATGTGTATAATATATACTATATATATATTATTCCTACTACCTATATAGTAATTTCATGGTTCAGTTGGTAACCAACCATTCACTAATCAGTCTGAAATCGGCCATTAATGATTCAGTTACTAATTCAATCATTGGATTCTTCAGTGACTGGCTGTACTGAATTATAGTAATAGCAGCTAGTCACATATTAGAACATACATGCTTAAGTTACTAACCAGCCACAAGCATGGAGGATCTTACCCAATCTATGGCTGGTTAGCAACTTCATGACGAAACTAGCCATCCAAGGTTGACCGCCTGGCTGAAGACCTTGCAAAAGGCCTGGCCCAAGGATTGGAAATTGGGTGAATCTGCAAGAGCAGTTTTTTTGGCTCCAGGATGGGACACTGAAAATTGGGGAATCAAATCACTGGTGCTCACAGTCGTCACTGAGTATACCAGTCTGACTTATCATAGCCATATTAGCGAAGTGTTTGGTGCATTATCCATGGTTTAATAAGTTTAATACCCTCTGGTAATTTAACATAGCTATGGAAAATCACCATTTTTAATGGGTAAATCCACTATAAATGGGCCATTTTCAATAGCTATTTTGACATAACCAGAGGGTAATTCAGCGTACTACGGGTCTCCAACTCTCCAGTTGTTTTTTTCTCGCCATCCCACTCGAAGCCTCGAAGCTCATGAAGCCCGTCTCCTTGGTATCGATCTCTACGAAGGTCTGATAGACGTCGCGGATGAACTCCTGGGCGCCGGCTGGGCCGGCTGGGCCGGCTGGGCCGGGGCTGAGTTGGACGTTTTGCTGAGATGATGTGTGTGTGTGTGTAATTGTGTATTATATATATATATAATACATTGAGGGTTCAAGCAGCTGTAGACCCAAATCTCCCCCGCAGGCGGTTTCACAAACCTAACCCAAGCCATGCCTTTCTCTACCCCATGCAGGCTGTTACTCCAAATGATAACACGGGCCGGTAAGCTGCACCAAATGCTGATTCTCGCGAATCCATGGTTCGTCATCATCCCAGTCAGTTGATTCATCTATGGTGATCACAATGGGGACCCTGAATAAATAAACCTGATATGAGAATATGTTCGTCTGTGACTGGCCTAAGCGATGAAAGTCTGGGTTTGCCTGAAATAAGGCCCGCTGAGATAGCACAAAGGACATAGAATTGCAATTGTCGAACAGGATAAAGCCGTGAGAATCTCTGTCGTAATGTTGTAACTCAGCGGCCGTGGCACCCTGGACAGTTTGAATGAAAGGAGGCTTCTGGATATACGTAGGCAAAACGAAATGGAGGCATTTTGCCAAGGTGCTTTTGCCAGCGCGCGAAGGCGCCCGGAGCACAAGAAATTTGTACCGAGAATCTAAAATGGAATACTGTTTGGCCCAGTCTTCGACTCGGGCAACCACTTCTGGCAAAAATGGCTTTTGCAATGGCTGGAGCTGAGCCACCACTTCGGCCTGCTCACGTCGGAGGCGACTTTCGCTCTCCTGCTGCATGACTGCTTCCACAGCGCGTTTGCGGGTGATATAGCCCAAGCGCACCTGCAACCTGCTGCACACGGTGTTGACACTTTTATAGTGATAATTCTGGAGACATTGGCCCTCTTTCTGAAAATGCATCTATAGAATCAGAGACCCCAAGGTATTTTCAAGTTGACAATCTCTTTAGAATCGCTGCCCCCAAGTCACTCTCGTAGAGCCGTTTTTTGGTTGGGGGGGTTAGTTGGCCTTCTATAAAATCAGGCTCCCCAAGTGTCATTCATTGACAGCTGACCTGAATGCTCCAGTTGCTCTTGCCTACCTTACCTTATGCATTCCCAATTTTATAGAGCTCAAAGGCTCCAAGTGTTCACTGTCAACCTCTTCGATTATATACAAGGATGATCAATGATGATGAACGAATTGTTGTGGGAAATTTGTTCTGCCAATACTTCTCTATAGAATTGAAGAACATGACATACACCCAAAGAGAACAGATCCAACTATAGAATCGCAGTGGCTAAGGCTTTCTGCTGACTAGGACTCAGTGCTGTATTCAACATGAAATCTCTATAGAATCAGAGGCCCCAAGGTCCTCTATACAATTGAAAGCGTTGACACTGGGTAGGTACCCCTAAACAAAGCAGGGGGTTAAAACGCACCATTTTCCAGGACCCAACGTTCTTGATTCTGTAGAGGAAATTCCAAGGGGGATATTTGAAGGTATCTGAAGATATGTTACGGCCAAATTATTGCTTATGTTCGGACACGTTATCAGACTCGAAGCAGCACTTTTATAAACAACATAGGTGTTTGTGACGTTCCCTATTCTATGAAATGGACCTGCTATGAAGTGGTCCCACTGAAATTCACATTGGGTTTATGTTATGTTCCATTTCATACAAATCTTTTCGGAGTTGGTCAATATTCTGGTACCCGAAAACTGCCCGCACGCCACCCTTTCGCGAACCGTTCGCGCCCCAGCAGAATCGGGACAAGGAATTCTGATCATGTTTTCGTGCGCATATGTGTTTATAAATAGTGGTATGCAGACCTCGTTGAATTTTAAGGTTTCTCCATCCCACTTTATTACTTGTATATTATGGTACCCATATTCCAGACCACATAAAATATGATAAAGAAACATTTATAGTATGGGTTTAATCATTTCATCCGGACATGGGTTCTTCCCTTCCATATAGAGCTTCAATCAAGGGGGATCGATAAACAGCTATTGACAAGTCAACTGCAATGACACCGCCTAAAGTGAGTCTTTGGCATCCGCACCCCTGGGTCCATGTATATATATATAAATAGATATATATATATATCCATAGATAGATATAGATAGATATAGAAAGACATATCTTTGTATAGATCTGTCTCGAAGAGATATATATATATATGTGTGTGTGTGCGTGTGTATCTAAATCTCTCGAAAAATGTCTCTATATATCTACATATGCTGATCGCCATGCAGCCATGGAGCGTCCAATAAATGTGGACCCTGATGTATCTCCGGAATGAAAACAATGCTGCTTAACCCAGGCACGCGTACTGCAGGTACTGCTGATGAGAAAGCTTGTGCCCACTCCACAGCGCATCCAGCCATCTGCCCTGCACTGTGTAGTCCTTGAACGCCTCGTAGGAGCTGGTGGCAACGAAATGGGTTCCTACCTGCACAGATCGCCCGGGTGAATTCCACCCAGCACTCAAGGCATGTCAGCCGAGGAAATGATCTGGTGGTGGGTCCAGACAATTAGATTAGATGTGATGCTGGCGACGAAACAATCTACATATGCCGCTTGCTGTCAATTCCTGTCTCTGCAAACGGCCATTTATCGCGAAGCAAAAAGTTTCTTTCGCGCATCCTTCGCGAACTGCATGTGTATCTTTCGCGCAACCCATGTTGAGCAATAACTCCGCTTATGAAGATTCAATCGGCACAGGCCAAATCACACCAAATTAGCACGGAAAAGTGCTTCATAGCCTTGCAAACATTGTGCTAGCATCACGGAATCCCCTTCGCGAACAGGTTCTTGCTGCTGAGGAACTTTTTTAGCAAGGCTTACTGGGCCACGCCCTTCAAAATGCCCTTTAACTTTACCTAGTCTTTTGCAGCACTTGCGTGCAACTGTCGTGCAAAGACTTGTCTCCGCAGACCACAGCCA